TTTGGTACTACAATATATTTTTAAAAAGTAGAAGAATTCATGACTAAATAATTAGTTATTGAAATATTTTGGAATTACAAAAAAAAAGAAAAACTTAAATTTAAGTTAAAGTACTTGTTGGTTCGAGTTCAGGAATAAACTCAAATCTGCTTGAATACTTGTGAGTTTGAATACAACTTCAACTATTTTAAACTTGACAAATATTTATACTTCAATTTTTAAAACGAGCTTGAACATGAGAGCACCTAAATACTCGACTTGACTTAACTCCACTTGCTAACAGCCCCAAATACAAGCCAAAACAAACCTCCTAGTTCCCACCATGCATCAGTAGCCAAAAGATAGCCAATATATTATTTTATGGCCTTGTTGGTTTTGCTTTCCTTAAGTCTTGTGTAATAATGTTTTTAATGCATTCGTAAAATGAGAAAAGGTGTAGATAAAGATATAAATTTTGTAATTTTTTTATTTAAGAATGTAATTTTTATTAGTTTCTAAACAATTTTGTTAGTTTCTAAGTAATTTTGTAAATTTTTAACTTTTTTTATTTAAAAATGTTAACTTTGCATTTCTTATATTTAAGAATTATTGTTACAAAATGAAAAAACACAAAGTTGACATCTTTACATAAAAAAAAAAAAAACAAAATTGTTATTCTTAAATAGAAAAAGATAAAAATTTACCATCTTATTTGAAAATCAACAACATTCATATCATTAAATAGAAAATATAGTAAATTTAGTATTTTTATTTACATCTCTTCTCTTCATAAAATCAACAGTACAATAAAATCCAAAACCTAAAATCTAAACTTAAAATTCAGAACTATAAAATCTATAGTCTTTTTACACAACCAAATTAACAGAGGTGTAGTAAACCTTTAGAATCAATTAATAATTAGGCAAATTAAGGTTTTGTTCATTGGTGCTTCTCAGTTCTCACAGAGCTTTTTTACTCAATATCTTATTCAAAAATGTAAATTTATAATTCTTAATTAATTTTAATTGCTTTTTATGTACTTTTATTAATTTTAATGAATATTTTATATATTTTTAAGATAGTAAAAAATTAAAAAACCTATAGCTACAAAATAACATAGTACAACATAACACTGATAAATGAAATCTAAGTTAACAACCCAAAATCAATTTAGCATTTAAAATACTACATTCTTTACCACAAAACAAAAGCTACAAATTACAATATAATATAAAAAATAAAAAAGAATAGAATGATAAATTTCTTGATTTTTCAAAGACATTAAGACATTACTATTTGAAAGCTGTAGTCTTCTGAGAAATTTTAAGAACTCAATTGAAAAGAGACTCTTGCCATAAAAATAAAGAATTGAAGAAAGATATATTGTATTAGGTTTTGTCGAGCTAGTAGTACTCTTAGAACATAGGATAATTGTGAATTAATTGCACATTTTTACCATTTATTTAATCTATATGTAAAAAATAAAAGTTGTCCACTAGGTTTAAAAGTTTAAAAACCTAA